AGAAATTTCCAACACTGCAAAACCTGTTGAAAAAAATATATTAAAATTCAGCTACTATAAGAAGTATATTATATTCACCTATATAATCAATGATTTTATTTTCCAACGAAATGGCATTGATAGTTTCATCGTATGTAGTACAGTGTTTAAACGTACACTTATTTATAAGTTTTTGCAAACGTTTTTCACTACAAACAAGCTCCATTTTAATTCTCCGTCTTAAATTTTCCATAGTTTTCCCTTTAAAGTTGTATTAAATGTCAGTAAAATAATTAAAAACATATTAAGGGGATAAATATACCAAAGACAGCGTTGTTTAAAAGTTTAAAAAAGTCCTTTTCGAAGTCGTTCCTTGCTTTTTTCCGCATCTCGGTGTTTAATTCTATGTATTTTTTAAGCCAGTCTGACTGATTAAACTGTACAACTCTGTGAACCTGCAATAAAACAGAATATGTAATAAATAAAATAAATAAAATAAATATGCTACTTTTTCCACAACGAGTCCGTTGGCTATGGCCTGCTGTAGGTTTCGATAATGAACCACATAGTTTTTCTTTGATTCTAAAGTCGCCATAAGTTTTTTAACTTTTGAACCCGGTGGAATACTATTTTTCGGTAGGAATGGTAGGTCATTATGCTTGTCATGAAGTTCTTTTGGATATGATATATCAACCACATACATCCGTCCGATTGGTGAACTATCGTTTAAATCATTTAGCCCATCTAGTTTTGGTTCAACCCACTTAAAACCTCCGTATGGCATGTAATGTGACATTGCGAACCCGTACAAGTTGTTACCTGGAATTTAAATAATATATTAAATTAAATATTAAATTTTACTCACAATCCTGATAAACAAGCCATGATCTCGGTTGTGTTGGGTCATAATCCGGTGTCTTTTCATTATTCGCCTCTGCATATCTCATGCTCGCTTGAGTTAACCGCCACGAATTCCTATAATAAAATCAAGTATTATTTCACATAATATAACTTTCACATAATATAACTTTACCTTTTTCAATCATTAACAACATATCATAATCTGTCAACAATTCTAGCTTCATTGAAGTGTATTTCAACATACAGTCAAATGAGAATCCAGGTGCCGTATATTAAAATGATGGGTCCAGATGGTATGTGCTTAAACAGAGGTCTCGGAAATTTTCAAACACATCAGCCAACAGTAGTACATCAATTTTTAAATAAAGATCGGAGTATTCCCCTAGTGTTTTACAGTTGAAATGATTCCAAACCGTCTTCGCATGATCATAATGTTTATCTTTTATATGTGATTCGTACAGTGAACTGTAAAAATCTTCTTTCTGAGGCAAAACAGTTTCTTCCAACTTGTCCCAACTATCTGTATACTCATAAGGGTAGACTCCCTTACGGGTAACAAGTGGTAAATCTTGAGATGAAAAATATTTTTCTGTCTCTCTAAACTTTTCAAATCCGGGTGTAATTAAATTTTTTGAAAGTTTTGATAAGCTTGCGGACATAAATCTTAATGTGTCTATAAATCTTATTGTGAAAGTGTTGCTAATATATTTTGAAAACGTTATAAACTTTTCCTCACTGTTTGGTATCACCGAAATTGAATGTGCGTCATAACCAAGACGAGTGACAATAAAATGTGAATCATAATTCGTTAAATTATGAAAAAATACCGGTACAAAGCTAGGTGTTTGGAGTTTAAGATTACACGTATTACATAGTGACTGTCTAAATTTCCCTGATGAATGGCAGTGATCTGCCACTTTATGATTTTCTAGGGAAAACTTGACCTTACATAAATTACAATTATTACATAATGCATGTGTTCTCCGTTGTTCGTCTGTGAAAATTATAGGAATGTTTGTTTTGAGTAACTCTTCAATTTTTTTGGCTATTTCCACAATACTATCCACAAAATGTCCAGCTACGTCCTTATTATTTTCATTTCCACGGTAAATTACAGGTGATGTTGGAATTTCAAATTTTTCAAGCAGTTCTACTGGTATGTCTTCATTTGCTTTAACCACAAGTCCATAGCTCATGGGCTCGTGTTGTTGAAAAGCTGTTGTTTTTTCTCCAATTTTCTCATCAGTTTTCTTGAGAATTGCTTCGAAATCTGCATAAATTACTATAGGATGACGTTGCGTTTTATTCCATGCAGTAAACTCGAGCATTGTACCAGGTTCAGGCATCTGAGCTAGTATAGGTTTATGTTCTCCACATATTAATTTATGTTGCTCTAGCCCTGCCTCACCGTTTAATTTATATTTGTTTTGTTGTTTATCGAATGTTACAAAGCACCGTTTGCAGAAAATTGATTGTCCATCATGTTTGGTTTTTTGTGACCTGATGAGTCGTGAAAAATTAGATATGTAGCTATAATGACTGTTATCCTCGTCTGATGTTATAAGTAGATCAAAATGGTCGGGTTTTTCTTCATCTACTACTTTAAGAGGAAAAACTTTATATTCCGGAAATTTTGGCGGTTGAAATTGTTTGTCGATACCGTAAACATTGACAGACACGTTTGGATTATTTTTTTCAAAAATTTTAACTTTATGTAGTGGTGTTGGGAATGTTAAACCAGATAAATTATATTTTTTTTCGTGTTTTAAATAATTATCACCAACACGGTATTTATTTTCTCCTGTAACATGTTTCGCTAGAATTGCCCACTTGAAGCATTGCATATCTAAGTTTTGAGGGTTAATCACAGCTTTTTTATTTTTAATGTCCACTGGAAGTGTTATATAAGACGAACCGCCCATAGGTGTATATTTATATATACCCAGCATTAACCCGTCAATACATTGTAATGTGAAACCACTACCCTTGCTTGCATACTCGTCTTGCTGTTTCATTAATTTAGTAAATGCCTCTTCAACAATTTCCTGTACTCCAGTATCACAGAAAACCGCCTTAGCCGAAGTTTTTAAAAGCACGGTTTTCCGACGAATATTCAACATTTGGTATATTATATGTCGCTTCAAGCTTTAAATTAAATTTGATCGGATTTTTACTTGCAATTGATTTTAGTAAATTAACTAGTTCGGATTTGATCGAATCGAGAAAGTATGTATAGTTTTGAATATTGGCGGTGTTTTTTACGTAGTACCAGGTGATAGTATTGTTTGATGATGTAGATATTTTTGTAAACCCTCGAGACTTTACGAGATTCAGACGTATTTTTTTTGCCCTAACAGCGGATTTAGTGTTGGCGCTGGAAACACGTTTACCATTTTCGTGTGTAGTGTATGAATCTTTAGAAAAAAAAAAAAAAAAAAAAAAAAAAAAAATTAACCTATGACGCGTTTATAAAAAGAAATAGCTAACCTTGAAAATCATAAAGCCCAAGATTCTCAACGGTGTCCAAAACTTTCAAGCATAAATCATCATTCACATTACTCCAAAATTCATCCTTCGTGTTATCTCGCATGGGTGATAAGCGATCATTTTGCCCGAGAAGATCGGCGGTGTCGAGAACCTCCCAGCATTCATTCGCGTTACTCGTCAATGCATCCGCCGTGTTATCTCGCATGGGTGTTAAACGAACATTTTGTTTATCTCGTGTAGTTGATGAACGGGCGATGTACCAGATTGCAAGTCTGGTACAAAAACGTGTGGCGCGATCTGTACTATACCTGATGACAACATTAAAATAAAATAAATATTTAAAGTGAATATAGAAAATAGGTACATACCATGAACATTTTTCAAATGTTTATTGAGGTTGGTCTTGAGTCTTGGTCAGAGCGAACGAGATGTAGGTTAATATAATAGAGCACTATATCACCAACTGCGGACAGTAATGAATAGTGACTATTCATTCATTCAAAAATCCCTACCGCCGCCGCCGCCACCACTGATCCCCGTCACGTGACAAAATACAGGATCGTCGGATTGTCCTATATATCGGGTGTACTAATATCCGTATGGTATAGTGTTCAAACCATTATTAACCTACTGAATATGAGACAAGCACACGCGCGGAGTAGACACTTGGAACGATATAGAGTGACTGAATTTATGTTGTGTAGTTGTGTTCATAAACGAACAAATTAAATATTAATTGGTGGGGGAGACATCGAAAAGTCCCTGCAGGTTAATCGGGAGGGGGTAATGCATGCAGCTACAGGTCTGTTGACGCTGATGACGCTTATAAAGGAATGTGAATGTATATATATATATATTTCTAAATGTTATGCGAGTAGCTACATGTTTGTTAAGACTGCTAACGCTTGCAAAGGAATGTGATGAACGTTTATTGTTAAAAATATACCAGTAGATTATTTTGTGTTAAAGTCACTGTGATAACTGATAACCAGTGTTGCCGATGATGTGGTAATTACCCCATACGGTGGTAATTTAATCCACTTGTGGTACTTAGTGTGGTATAGTATAAAATGTGGTATTTTTGTGGTAATCATAAAAATACAAAAAAAATGTGGTATTATTATTATTTCCTATATATAGAAAATTAAATTGAAATATACTAAAATAAGTTTTTTTTTTTTTTTTGATTATTTTAACATTATATTATTTATATAATAGTTATATATTGTTCACAGATTTGTGCTGTTCTGTGATACCAGTAATCACAACCAGCCACTGACTGTCTAGGACTATAGATATTAGGTAGACACTAGACAGTCGTGTTGTACTGTAGTGGGTACTATCATAGATTATAGTATTATACCTAGATTATTGTATTATATACCTATAAATTATAATAACAACTATTATGCTTGTAGATATGAAACCGTGGTAATTAATTAAAAATTATTACAACTGATAAGTGATAACCCTAAATTCAATATTCATACAATAGGACATAGGTACAATCGTTAATACTTAAATTTAATAGTTATTAGTTATTTCTATTACTCATTAGTTAATAGCTTTATAATAGCGATCAAGCAAAGTATGAATTTTGAACTTGTTTAGTAAATTATAGCTGTTATTTTGTTTATAAATATTTATAAAATTTAGTAATAAATTTAGTAATCATGGATAAATGGCTTAAAAAAGTTGAGCCTGACACTGAACCTACTCAATTGATTTTAAATGAAACAGAAATCATTGATGAACCGGAACCTTTGCTGAGTTCGTTTATTACTGATTCAAGTTTAGTGACTGAACAAGAGCTAGAAGTTTCTCAACCATCAAAAACAGACAAAAAAAAAAAACCTGCTGAAAGAAAGTTTAATGAAAAATGGCTAACTATGACAGAGTACAAAAATTGGCTTACTACCAAAACTAACATAAAACAAAAAGAAGTAGCTTACTGTAAGGTTTGCAGTTCTTTAATGAGTCCTCACCTTACCGAAATTAAGAGACACGGACAATCCGCCAAACATATTTCAAATTCTAATCAAGTGGTCCAGCAAAATTCGGTCAATGAAGTTTTTAAAATGTCATCATTGACCGAAAAAACCAGAATTGCTGAATTGAAACTAACTGCCCTTTTTGCTACAAATAATTTGCCCTTTTCATTGTCCGACACACTTACCCCTCTACTGAGTACAATATTTCCTGATTCTAAAATTGCCAAAAACTTAACTTTGAAGAGAACTAAAGCAACGGCAGTTATGAAAAATGTATTAGGCAATAACTTTTTAAATGAACTGTGTGATACACTCAGGGAACCTGGTTCTTTTTACTCACTAATAATGGATGAAACTACAGATATTTCTGAAATCAAACAGTGTGCAGTTGTCATCATATATTTTGATACAGAATCAATGACTGTAAAAACTCAGTTTTTGGATATGATTGAAACTATTTCAGGTAAATTATATCCTTTGATTAACCACTTAAATATTACATTATCTAATAAGTTTTTATTTTATTTAGGAACGGCTGATGATCTGACAGATGCTCTTCTGAAATGTGCTTCAGATAAAGGTATAGAGAAAAATATGATGGTTGGATTTTCTTCAGATACAACAAATGCCATGGCCGGCAAGTTCCACTCTGTTTTTACAAACTTGAAAACCGCTGTACCAGGTATTGCTTGTATTAAGTGTTCTTGTCACATGATTCATCTTTCTGCATCCAAGGCTTGTCTAAAACTACCACGTTCAATCGAAGATTTATTGCGCAACGTGGGATCTCATTTTAGTAGGAGTCATTCACGTCAATCCAAATACAAAGCCTTTCAGGAATTTTTTCAAGTGGAAATACACAAAATATTATCACCATGTACAACTCGCTGGCTGTCACTAAAAGCATGTGTTGACAGAGTATTAGAACAATTTCCTGCTCTCAAAGAATATTTTAGACTGGTAAATTTTGAAGATCCCTCCAAAACGTCAGAATTAATTTTTAGTACCATGGAAAATTCCTTTAGTATAATCTACCTCGAATTCATGTCATATTCACTTGGTCTCCTGACGAACTTCAACACTTTGTTTCAAGGTGAAGGGCCTTTATTACATCTACTTAAACCTGAAATTGAAAAGTTGTTGAAAACTATAAGTATGAATTTTTTTACTATTGAGTATATAAGAAGCCTTGACACAATAATGAATGTTTCTCCTAATTTGTCACAATATTATCTTCCATTAAATGAAATTTATATTGGTATAAGTGCTAACGATTCGATAACGACTTTAAAAAACCAAAACGTTGTTGACTCAAATGAAATATTTAAGTTTTTTAAATCATGTCAAGAATACTATATAGAACTTGTAGTGGACATAAAAAAAAGATTTGTATTTGACGACTCTGTATTTGAATGTATAACTGTGACAAATCCAGCTTTAGTAAAACTATTCAAGACAAAATCTTTAGCTAATATATTAAAAAGATTTCCAGTTCTAAATAATTTCATAGACAACGCACAAGAATTGGACAAGGAATGGAGAGAACTAGCACTCATGGAATTAGAACCAGTAGAACCATCAAATCCAAATGATATTATGGAATACTGGAGAAAAGTATTTTGTTTGAAAAACTCATTAGGTGAGATTTATTTTCCGAACATATTTTTCGTAATGAGACTCTTATTGGCTTTACCATTTTCCAACGCATCAGTTGAACGTCTATTCAGCGATCTTAAAAACATCAAAACTATGCATCGCAATAAACTTAAAACTGATTCATTGGTAGGGATTCTAAGGACAAAACATTCCGTTGTAGATTGTATTGCTTTTAAACCTTCAGCTGCAATGGTTAAAAGCAAGACTTGGGACTCCTCTAATATTAGAGATCAACATTGATACTATTTTTTTTAACAGCATTAGTTATGTATTTTAAAATTTTAATTATAAAGAAGGTTGTGATATTATTTTTTCATAGGTAAATAAAATGTTATGTAATTAGTTGTTAGTATCAAATGTAATATTAATTTTCTGTTAAAGTTATTGTAATGTACTAATGTATTATTTAAATTAAATTAGTATCAAATCCAAGATGTGATATTATTTTTCTGTTAAAGTTATGTATAATTATTTATTTAAACTAAATTAATACCAAATCCAACATGTGATATTGTTTTTTTGTTAAAGTCAAGTATTAACTAAATAAGTATCAAAATGTGATATTATTTTTCTGTTAAAGTTATCGTTATATATTATTTAAATAAAATTAGTACCAAATCCAACATGTGATATTGTTTTTTTGTTAAAGTTTGCATTATTTAAAGTAAATTAGTACCAAATCCATGATGTGATATTGTTTTTTTCAAAATTGGATTAAAGATTAAACACGCGAGCGAAGCGAGCGCGTTATATTTCTAATGTGGACCACATTATGTGGTATTTGTGGTGGTAATATTGATATGGTAATGTGGTAATTGTGGTAATTTTGTTATCATGAAATGGTAATACGACATTTTGAATTCGGCAACACTGCTGATAACGCACCGGAGGGCTCGCGCCCGCGTTTGCGGCGGCTCTTGGTATGGTATAGTGGCGGGGGAAATTATACCTCGCGTACGTAAGCGGACGTCGTAAACGCCAGTTAAATGAGATAGAATATACCTTCTCAAACATATGCGAGTAGGCGGCCCAGTGGTACGGTGGTCGCTTATCATGCAAGGGAACCGGGTTCGAATCCCGGTCTGACGTATAAATTTTTAAATTATTTTCCACGCGCGGTGGTCATAGGTGGTGGGGTGGCGGGGGTACATCGTTAACGTGTGTGATATATGGTGGGTTCAGCAGCCGTCAATGTATAGGGATGAGCAGACGGTGTATTGGGATGAGCAGACGGGTATAGTGGGATGAGCAGACGGGTATAGTGGGATGAGCAGACGGTGTAGTAGGATGAGCAGACGGGTATAGTGGGATGAGCAGACGGGTATAGTGGGATGAGCGGACGGTGTAGTGGGATGAGCAGACGGGTATAGGAATTTACCAGCAGGATGAGGTTAAAAAACTGTCTTTTACTACCTACTGGTAATAAACATGCGTTTTACATTATTTGTAAAGTAAATAGAATAGTGTATAAAATAATTTATGCATCTAGTCGAAAAACTTCAAAATAAATCCCCTGTATTTTATGTAAAACGAGTGTTAAGTGATGCATATAAGATATAATCTGTATCAACCCGGTATCATATGATTTATTATAATATAAGCGATAGGGTATGATATCAGTATAAATATACCCTCATGTATTTAACGATAATTGGAGAGAAATATATGATTTCTATGTTATGTTGATAGAAAATCATGAAAATATAGTGGTCTTATATTTAATCTGAAAATCATTCTTAACCGACGTGTTATAGGTTTGTGTATTTCGATACAGGTATAGTGATGAAAATCAGTGAAAATTTTGGGTGTTATATTATATAGCTGATGAGTGTGGCTCTATGAATACAGTTTTTATGATATTTAATCAAAAATAATAACTTCTAGCAAAGGTATCTACGAATGTACCGGTTTTTAAAGGTAAAATATATTAGTTATATATATATATATTTTTTTTTATAGTGAGATTATGATAATTACAATTGAACACATTTTTATTGAACTTATGAAAATATGTGTACATGTTTTAACATAATATAATGTATGAGTCATAAAACTAGATATAATATCATATTATAGTGTAGATTGAAAAGAAGTAAGTCGACTATTTAGAACTGAAATATTCTGTTATAGTGTATAGTTGCATTTAATATCTAATGCGCGATATGATTGATGGATTGATTTACAAACTATAGTTATATGTTATTATTAAGAATTTCAATATTTTTGACATGCTCTTGACATAGAAATTATATTTGTGTAAGATTTTATCAAAATTTTAATATTATCATAATTTGGGGGGAAATTAGCATATTTTTACCGATTTTCCTGAAAAATCATGATTTTTTCAAATATATTCCCAAGCTTGTGATGGCAATATACAAGTGATTTCATCATTATTTTACAAAGTATATGGAATAACTCATGAAAAGTATAAGTAATAAGCATCCATGTAGTATATAACTGTACAAATAATACATTTCTATAATGTTGTACAAAATAAATGCTGGGCTGTGTGTATAAGATATGCATTAAAAGTAATTTAAATATAAATATGGTTTTCTATATATGAAATCATTAAGTGGAAAATTATCACCGCTTAACGTAACTACATTTTATTTTGTTTTTGCTAATATGTGATGAAGACAACTATATAATAGTATGCTTTTTATTATTAATACCATGGAATTTAAATATGAATTTGTTTCATCTTTGGAATAAATACGGTTTTTCATGTAATGCTTTTAAGATTTCTTAATATGATATTAATATGATATTCTAGACTTTAAGCTGTATTAGAATTGTGTGATAAATATGTGTAAATAGTACATGGGTTTATCTACTGAAAATGAAGCAATCAAAAAAGTTCATATAATATTATATCCATAATATTATATGAATTTATAATTATAATATCAAGTGCAACGATATGTATCGGCCGTTTAGACTCGTTATAATGGTGTTCATGCATTTAGATACACTTAATAACTAAACTGTATATATGCCTTTGATGGTAATTAGGTAGGGATATGATATTTTTTATAATATTACATGATTTTATTGAAATTATGATATTTTTCCTTATTTTTCACTAAAATATTGTAATGTTTCCATATGCTTTATTAAAATTACGATATTTTTACTTATTTTAGCAAGATTTTTGTATTTATACACAGACAGCTATGTTTTTATCGAAATTAGTACATTTTAACGTATATTCACATTGATGAGTACATTTTTAGATTTCAGCATAAATTCTACCTACGTATTTAACGAAAAAATGAGTAAATTATATATGAGTAGGTCCTACATTGCATTTAATTGCTGTATATTGGATAGCGTTGTATCAGTATGCATGGCTACGTTGTGATATATTTTATATATCAACTGTTAATATATAATAATTAATATATGTTTAATAAATTAGGTATCAAATAAATTATATATTGAAAATATTTTATGAATGAAAAGTAAGGATGCATAAGCATATTTGTGTTTAATTTAAATTTAATAAAATAAATGTATTATTTCTAACATGAAATGTACTGTATCAACGGTGAAGTCAAAATATGATATTTTTATTTTTGCATTTAGTGATCAAACTATCTCGAAGACGACGTCTAAGACCCTCAGAGTCGATATCCTCTATTCTCCTTAATCTGTACATATCTACTAGTTAAATAAATATATAATTTTATGTATGTTGTCGAGTAATCATCTGAGCTGAATAAAATATAGTTAGATCTATCTATTTTAATTGAGATATTTTTCTATAATATGCGTGTTTAAGCTTAGGTACTGTGGTATCACCCGTATTGGATAATACGCGGTAAACCAACTTTATACCTTACCCTCGTACGCTCTAGGCTAATGACTGTCTCTAGAATAAATTCAGATTAGCACTGTTAACCTTTGAGGTACGATGGTAGCGTTTTGTCAGTTCTTCGTTCGTTTCCTAAATTGGAATGACTATTAGGACGCCACAACCAGAGCACTGTTCAGTTTGTAATAAACCTCATTGACTATAGGTGTGTGGGTCTGAGCACTGTTCCAATATTAAAGGTAAGAACGAAGAAGACTTTGAAATAAAACTCAAGTAGTATAAAAAGGGGGCTTCTGATGCCTCATCCCATTATCCTTGCATTATCCCCTCATCATCATCACTCATCATACCGCCCGCACTCGCACTCGCACCCGCAACCTCATCAATCACACCGCGCGCCGCCGCCGCCGAACGATCGCTCATCCCTCACCCGCACCCGCATCCTCATCACTCATCACACCGCCCGCGTCGAGCGTTAGTTATATTATTGTTATCACTGTTATCATATTATTTCCGTTATCACTGTTATCATATTTTATCACTGTTATCATATTATTTTCGTTATCATATTATTTCCTTTATCGTATTTTATCACATGTTACGCCGCCACCGGCCGAAAATAAGCCAAAAATTTTTTTCCGGACCGGGTTTCGAACCCGAGTCCGTCGGTTCGGCAAGCGATCACCGAACCACTGCGCCACCCCGACACATATACTTTATATTAAGAACTTGCCATATTTAACGGGTACATACAACTGCAAAAGAAACATTTAATAATAGATTGCAGCTGCGCGTATTGTCATTAGGAGCCATCGGTTCGCACGCTCGCCGAACATTATAAAATAATCAATAATTATACCTATAGTATATCGAATAGAAGAAGCATTAGCTATCAATTCAACCTGTATAATAATAGTCAGTCTACACTCTCGCCAGGATGTCGCGGATTCTTAAGTATTACTTACTTTTCATAAAACTGCAAAAGAAACATTTAATAATAGCTTACGGCTGCGTATTGTCATTACCTGCCACGGTATTGTCATTACCTACCATCACTTACAGGACAATTATTAAAGGATAAAATAGACATCTGTTCACACGCTCGTCGAAAATTATAAAATAATCAATAAATTGCCAATATACCTGTTAAGTATCTCCACTTAAGGTGCAATATACAGCCACTCGCACGCCCACCGACCATTAGTATACATTTCCTACCATTAGATATGAATATTATCATTTTGGTGCTGTATGACACATTAAGTCGGCATTAGTGAATAACCGATATACTTTTGTATATAAAATGTCATATTCGCTCGAGTCGCCAGGTTGTCGTCGACTCTTAATAGCTGCTATATATATCAATACTAATAACCATTTTTGGCGCTGTATGGCACATTAAAACTGATATTAGTACCTT